TAACTTCACATTTTTTTCCTCCTCTATCCAATCCCACGTCACATAATTTCGGCCTACTGTGCTCCCATGACACATGTCAGTGAATCTCATTCATACGTCGAAACAAGTGTGTCACGTTGTCGACCGGTAGAAGGGGTCTGCCGGCACGCCGACCAAACCCTAAATCTCGCGCCGCGTCTATCACCCACGGGAGGGTTGGTCGGGGCTCCTGTAACCTGCAAGAAATCAACCTCGTAAGTATCACCAAAATACGCTAACACCGCAATATAAGGCAGGAAACTGCTGACGACGAAACAATTCGTAGAAATGATCGAAAAAAATGTTTTGATTTAGTTCAAAATAGTATGATAGTTCGCACTGTGACCAGGCCTTGGGTCTCGCCCATAGCACGGGTCTGTAAAATCCGTCTCAGTCCCAACAGAACCCAGCCCCCGTCACGAAACAGGCTTGATACGACAAATAGGCTCGACACTTGTCGGAGAGGCGATATCTTGGTTTACCCGGGTGCGCGACTAGGACCCGTCCTGGGTCTAGATCTGGTCTAGTCCGGTCGGTTTGATCTTGTCTGATCTGGTCCGTCCGGGTCTGATACGGCCTGGCCGTGTCTGATCAGGTCTGTTGTGATGCTGCCTGGTTTAGTCTAAACTGGCCTAAACTGGTTTGATCCGGTACGGTCGGGTCCGATCTTATCTGGTCTGACCTGTTCGGATCCAGTGTGGTCTGGTCTGGTCCGTGTCTGTTCCGGGTCCGATCTGCCTTAGCCGGTCTAGTCCGGCCTGACCTGATATGGCCTACCAGTCCGGTCTGATCCGGTCTGAAGCAGTCCGCTCTCGTGTGGCTTGTTCCCGCTCAATTTGGTCCGATCCGGTCTGATGTAGTCTGGTCTAGTTCAGGTGTGATCCTGTCTAGTCCGGTCTGCCTTGGTCTGATTCCGTCCGGTCTGTCCCGGTCTGGTCTGATCTGGTTCGGTCTGAACTGGATCAGGTCTGACTTGATCTGGTTTGGCCAGGTGTGGTTCGGTCTGATCTAAAGCGGTCTTGCCTGCTCTGGTCATGTATGATCTAGTCTGATCTTTATCTGATCTAGTCTGGCCCGGCCTGATCTGGCTGGTCTGGTCTGTTCTAAGCCCGGTTTGGTCTGAAATGCTCTGGTCTAATCTGGTCTGGCCCAGGTCTGATCTGGGCTGGGCTGGTCTGTTCTGAGCCCGGTCCGGTATGAAATGCTCTGGGCTTATCTCGTCTGGCCCGGGTCTGATCTGAACTGGTCTTGGTCCGGATCTGGTCTGATCCCGTCCAATCCGGTCAGGGCGAGCTCTTAAGTCAGACTGTGACTCGGCGCTCCTGCGCCCGCCCGCTGGCGCACGCCTGTCCTTCGTTCATTCGCCCTTGATTGAACCTCCTCACTCTGGGGTCCCGAGCACGGAGCGGAAATCACATTGCGCTCGATGTGTAGAGTCTGACACGTGCAGTCAAGCTCAACGGGGTCTTCCTTCCCCGCAGGTTTTTCCAAGCCCGTTCCCTTGGCTGTGGTTTCGCAGCATGGTAGTTAGGGACAATGGGAATCTCGTTAATCCATTCATGCGCGTCACTAATTAGATGACGAGGCATTGGCTACCTCAAGAGAGTCATAGTTACTTCCTCCAATTACCCACGCCTAGTTGAATCCCTTCTCTTTCACATCCAGAGCGCTGGACAGATACCACACTGCGCCAGCATCCGTCGAGACCACCGCGCTGCCTTGTATGATCGGCCTATCCCCTCGGTTCCAAGTCTCTCTCTCTCTCTCTCTCTCT